GCGTGGGATTATTAATTTATTTACTTTTAATCATCCAGAGGAGAGCAAGATCCTCAAGCATCTCCTTGCTGGCGGTCTAGCTGGAGCCATTTCGCGCACTTGCGTTTCTCCCCTTGAGCGTGTCAAGATCTTGTTCCAGGTACCGCGAGATTCCTCCGATGCTTCCGTCCAGCGCTGTGCCCGCCCACACCCACAGCTGTTGGAGCAACGCGACTGGGTGGGTGCACCTCGCTCATCGCATGCATGTCGCGTCGTTACAGCTTCAACGACCCGGGCAAGTAAAGTACCGAGGCGTGTGGCACGCTCTAGTGACGATATTCAAGGAGGAGGGGCTCTACGGCTACCTCAGAGGCAACGGCACGAACATCATCAGAATATTCCCTTATTCCGCTGTACAGTTTGCCGCCTATGAACAGTTTAAGAAGGTACGTCGCTCATTCTTCCGTGTCGCGTTGCTGCTCTCCCTGATCGCTTGTTCATCGTCGGTTCCTCTTTTGTGGCTGCAGCTGTTGAAGGTGAAGAAGGATTCGGGACCACTTCGATTTTTGAGTGCGGGCGCAGGCGCGGGCATTACGTCCGTCGTCGCCACCTACCCACTGGACCTCATCCGCACTCGACTCAGCTCTGGTGCTGCCGCCGACAAACAGTACAAAGGTATGCGCGAGATCTCATCTCCGTGGTGTCCATCTGTCCTTCAACATGCTGATGCTGAGACTCCTTCTCCCAAATGCAGGCATCTGGCAGGCCTTCATCAATATTGTGAGGACAGAGGGTCCTCTGGCCACCTACAAAGGAGTCGTCGCGACGGTCCTCGTAAGTGTTATCTGCTCCGTCTGCCACCACGCGCTGGGTTTCGCCGGTGATCAACCGCTGTCCACTCACCCAACCTCTCAACCTCTCAACCGTAGGGTATCGCGCCATATGTAGGACTTAATTTTGCCACCTATGAGGTCTTCAAGCGATTCTGCAGCAAGCAGTTTCCCAACGTACAGCCATCCGCCATCCACCTTACATGCGGTGCCGTCGCCGGCGCAGTCTCACAAACAGGTACGCAGCAAGCGCCTCTTTTCAATTTCCTCTTCTCTCCTTTGGGCATTCGTGGCCGGACCGAGTGCGTGGTTGCTGAGCGGCTGTGCGCGCGTCGTGTCGTGTCGTGTCGTGTGGTCTACAGTCACGTATCCTCTCGACGTCTTGCGACGCCGAATGCAGATGCAAGGATTCGACGGTCACCCAGCCTACACATCAACCTGGGATTGCACGAGAAGTATGCGCTCCTCTTCCTCCCTCCACAGCCTTCGCCTTCATCTCACCTCTTTTTGCCAGGTATGTGGAGGCTCGAGGGCGTAAACGGATTCTACAGAGGGATGATCCCCAACTACCTCAAGGTGGTCCCGTCGATCAGTATCACCTTCCTTGTGTATGAATGGATGAAGACCGTCTTGGACGGCTGAACCAGTTCAATGCAACACTCCATTACACAATCACACCTTCATACACACCTTTCTAGTCGTCGTGTGGTGCGCAAACCGGGAATTTTGGTGCTGCGGCGAAGACGAAGAGACGAACGAAAGATCCCCTTGTCCCTTTTTCGTCTCGGCGAAGAGAGTGACCGGTCGGCGGCAAGGCAGTAGTTGATCTTCCCCCACGTCTGTACGCTTTCCACACCCGGCGCGCGAGGGGAGCTCACCCCAATTCGAATTGCGAAACTAATTGGTGACAAATTTTAATTCATTACGCGATTAAAAATCGCAGGCGATCATGGCCAGCAGACACCCATGGAAAGCCGGGGGCGATGGCGTTGAGTACCAGTACGAGCGCGTCTCGATCAACATCCCCAACACCGACTCGCGGCGGGCGCCGTGGGAGGTAGGAATCCTCAGCCTCCCTTGTGTTCATTATTTTGGATTAAATGGGTGTGTTCAATCTCGGCAGGATGAGTCCATAGAGCCTGCACTGGCGCCCAAGACGTTTGACTCCGACCGCCTCGACAATGGGCTCGACGGGATACCGGTGGAGTACGCCGGGAGCGTGTTGAGCCGAGGGTGGTACGAAGCGCGGCAGTGGGTGGTGGACAAGTACTACGACAAGAACTTCAAGTTCATGCTCATCCTGCTTCTCCTCGTCATCGCCTTTGGCACAGCCAACCGTGTCATCTACAAGATCCAGCTGTACAGCCGCCCATCTCTTCTCGTGGGCTGGCCATTGGCGTGCGTGCGTGCGTGCGTGCGGTTCAACAGTTTGTGCTGACGCTAATCATGCTTTACTGTGTGATTCAGGGGCACGCCGTCGAGCCCGCAGATGAACAACTACACCATTTTCATTTCGTGGGTGCTCACCACGGCCTATTGCTTCCTCTACTTTGGCATCTTCTCGGTGCGAAGATACGGCCTCTTCATCATCGACGACGATCAGGTCGGCTACGTCTTCTCGTGGAGAGGATTGAAGCTCATCGTCATGGGTCTCATGGTACGCTAGGATGATGATGATGCGGATACTGCGCACAGCTATACGCGCGACTCGCCCGAGCTCACTCAAACGTCACACCTCCATAGGATGCAACGGGCTTCGTGTTCGGTATCTTCGCCGCTCGTCAGATCAACGGCTTCCTGCTTACCCTCTTGCCTCAGGTAACGTTCACACACACACACACACACCACTCAAGTTCTTCCAGCGCACATTGACTACAACGCTTTTCCCTCCTCCCAGGCCATCATTCCCATGACGATGGTCGTTTCCCTCATTGCGCTGCGAACCCGGTACGCCCCCAACACAGCACCGCCTCCCCTTTCTGTCGGAGTTTTCGCATGTGTGTGTGGCTCACCGGATCTGCAGCTACCACTGGGGTCAAGTGCTCGGTGCGGCGACGCTAGTCTCGGGTCTGCTGGTCTCGCTCATCCCCACCTTCCAGAAACAGGTATCCCCATCGCACCTCCAGAGCTGAGCGTGCCGCGAAGCTCTGGCGTCAGTGCTGGCCTCCCTCTCTCAGTCTCCTCTCACGCGCGCGTTGGTTCGCCTGTTCACCAGGGCTCCGGTGACACGAGCGCGCTGACGGCGGTCTGGGCGGGCGTCTACTTGCTCTCCCTGCTACCCAACGCCATCTCCTTCATCCTCCGCGAGATGGTCTTCACCGAACTGGTAGGTTATCTCTCGTTGCCCCCCCCCCTGCCAGCGTGGACTTACGCTTCTCCGCTGTTGCCGTCGTTACCTGTCAGCCCAAGATGGACATCTTTGTCGTCAACAGCTTTGACTCCTTCTGGCAGCTGATCTTCTCCGTCCTCATGTTCCCGCTCGTTCTCGTGCCCGGCTTCAGCTCGGGTACGCCCCCTCTCTTATCTACCACAGCCGTCATCGCACCCGAAGCGCCCCCTGCTGACCAACAGCGCACGCACGCACGCACGCACGCACGCGCCAACATGACACGTGGACTTCATACACCTCGCACTCGCCGCACGCAGTCTCGTTCCACGAGATCGGAGACTATATCCCCAACGGCGCGTCGTGCCTAGTCGGGTTCACGCCCACGCCGCAGGACGACTGCAGTGGTACGCTAACCCACTCCGAGTCCCGGCTTCTGCCTTCGCACCAGTACTCATCGTGCCGTTTCCTACATGTGTAGGCGAGCCCTGGTTGATGATGATGTACGTCTGTGTCAACCTCAGCTGGAATGTACGCATACCTTTCTGTCTTCTCCATCACTTCATGACATTGCTGGTGTTGATGGTGGTCGTCATGTGTGGCTGGCTGTTTCAGATTTCGCTGCTGCTGCTGTTGAAGAAGGGCGGTGCCGTGTTCACCTTCATCGGATCTGCCGTGTCCCTGCCACTGTCCCACTTTGCCTTTGCCATCAGTACTCGCTTCTTCTTCTTCTTCACCTCCCTATAGTCCCGTTCTCATGCTGCTCTCTCTTTCTAGACTGGCCCATCATCGGTTCGGGAACAGTCAGCTGGGAGGACGGCCTCGGGCTTGGCCTCGTCTTCGTTGGTTCGTCCCGTCACCGACCCTAGTCATCATCACTCAACCCACACACTAACGCTCGTCACTATCGAACGTTCATGTGGTTGATGGGCAACTACTACTACAACACAACAACAGGTTTGATCATCTATCGGTACTACGCCGTGGTGCAGAGGAAGAAGCTCGACGACGAGACCCGGCAGAAGCTGCTCGATCCCAGCTGGCAGCCGCCCGCCTCCTGCTGGCGACGCCTGTGCTGCCGCAACCGCGACCAATTCGACGACTGAACAACCTGGACCAGACACGAGCCCAGGTTCTATATGACCACCCACGCCGCTGCTGTACACCACCACCATCAAGCACAAGTGTCTTCACTGTGACGCAATTCCACGATCATCGTCGCCAAAGGCGTCCAGAACGAAGCGGAAGGTGAGGTTGATGCGGCCGGCGGCGAGGGCTCGCTGCTTGGGCACGCTGTGGAGCCACCGGTGCTGGGTGGAGCCCGCCATGACCAGCAGGCTACCGTGCGCGAGCGGCAGCTCGAATCGCGGCACCGCGGGCTTCGCCGTGCGATCGGCGTAGTGCAGCACAAAGCGCCGCGCCGCGCCCAGCGACAGCGACCCTATCGCAGGATTGCTAGCCAAGCCCACGATCAGCCGCACGACACTCACGGCGCACGAACACGACGACACACACGACGACACGTACGAGCCCAGAAACTGGCCGGCGTCGGTGTGCGGGGACATGTAGTCGTCTTGGTCGCGGTAGAAGTTGAGGAGGACGAAGTTGAACGACCGGTCGGCGGCGGTCTCGACACGCGCCTTGAGCGCCCACACGTCGGCCGGCCACTCGCGATAGCCGCACCGGAACTTGGACCCGCCGGCTATGCCCCGGCCGTAGTGCTGCGGTGGTGGCGTGTGGTGCGTGCGTGTGCGGTGCGTGCGTGTGCGGTGAGCACCAACCACCAGGGTAGCGTTGCATGTGGGGCACTACGCGCACCTTCTGCATGCGTGGCGTGCTGACCCTGGCACCCTGTGCGTTCACGTAGGACGGGCCTGGTGACTCAGCTGTGGTAGGCGAGGCGGTGGCCGAGGCGGTGGGCGATGAGGTGGCGGTGCGGCCATGGCCTTGGCTCCACGCGGTGGAGGTTCGGAGGTGGTCGTAGAGCCGCGTGGCCTCGTCGTTGGGCAGGAAGGCGGGCCAGTAGCGCAGTCGGCCGCCCTCACCATCCTCGTACACTACGCACCCGTCCACTTCTGAGCTCGTCTCCTGCTTGACCTTCTTCCACCCGTGCTCCCTCACAAATCTTGCCCCCCCCCCACGCATGGTAAGGCCTCCGTGCGGGCCACTGTGGTTGGGTGTGGTGAGTACCTGAGTGCAGGCTCGCGGGTCGTTTTGCTCTTCTTTGGCGCTGCGGCAGAGGGGGAAGGTGCGGTAGAGGCAGCCGGGAAGAACGCCAGGAGGCTACTCTGCTTCCTCTTGCCTGTAGCTGGAGGCCGCGGTGCGGCGTCCATCCATCAACGGTTGCGAGCAATAAATTAAATAGCATTTTCTCTTTCTGCCTTTCCCTTTTTCTTATTTTCTCAAAGTTCACACGCGACCACCCGCCACGGCGGCAACTCTGTGCCACATCAGCCCGAAACATGGCTGGTCAGCACAACGATATCATCTACGAAGAGGTGCCGCTTCATTTTATATTCATTTATCAACACAAATAAATAAATCATTAATATTTCTTTTTATTTTTAAAAAAAGGAAAACAGCTTGAGGTCGGTGCTGAGCGGGGGCTCGATGACCAGCTCCGGCCGGCGGGTCAAGGCGGCCACCATGGCCAAGCTGGTGGACCTCATCGCCCACAACCAAGTACCCCGTACGTCTCCGCCCTACGATGCCTCTCGTGTGGACTCTCGGGAGTCTGATGCCCTACACAATGCACCTCTGCAGCTGCGCAGCCACACCTGGAGGCCGACCTTGTCCTGTGCTACGCCATGTTCTGCTCCTCGCAGGACTTCGTCGATCTCATCCTCCGCCAGTACGAACCGCCACAGACAAACAAAGTTTGTTTTTGTTTTTTTTGTTTTGTTTTTTTTGTTTTTTTTTTTTTTGGTGGTCGTTGGTCGTTAACGGTTAACGGCGTCCAGGTTCCATCGAACAGATGAGTTCGTGCCTCGACGCAAGTACACGTTTCCTCGCGCCCCTTGCATCTTTCTCGTTCCCCATAACCGGTGCTTGATGTCGTGTGTTGTGATGTGTTGTGATTTGGCGTGCGTGTGCGTGTGCGTGTCTCACGGCAAGGCTGGCAAACCTGGTTCGCGTGCTGCTGCACCAGCTGCTGGCCGACAATCCGCACAGCAACGCCGTCCAAAAGATTGTACGCAAGAGTCGCACCTACCTTCGGCTCGTTCGCGCTCGCACACGCGTTCCTCACGTCCTTGCCACACGCACCCCCGCACACGCACACCCGCCACCGCACACGCACACGCACACATCAAGCAATCGTTCGCGGAGGAGAATGAGGGCGAAGAGTTCGCCTCGCCGCTCCGCTATCACATCGACGTCAGCCAGCGGGACGCTTCCGCCGGCGCGGCCCCGCGCACCTCGTCGCTCTGGGCCGCCCGGCCCCACGACACCTCCCTCCCGCCCGTCCT